ATATATATATATATATATATATATATATATATATATATATATATATATAATGCATCCATTGTTAAATTCATGGCATAACGGTTATGTTGTGCTAAATATTAATAAACTTGAATTGACCAGCTGGATTGTTTGTTCTTCTTTGAGGTTATATGAGCCTATGTTTATTGTATGATAGAAATATGCATATATTACACAGTTTGCGACAAATTGATCCGTAGATTCCTCTAAAAACTACTGAAAAACGCGGAACGCTCGTGATTGGTTTCGCTCTCGTTCCGCGCTCTGTATTCCGCTGCATGGGTTTGCACCCTGAGTTCGAGTGAGATCTGGATCCGGACAGAGTCTGGATATATGCTTCCATCTACAACTAATATTCAATGGCTGTTCCTTTTACTCCCATTCGTCTCATGCCGCAAGTGGGAATATCAAGGAATGGCGTAGAAGCTTGAAGTAGCCACATATAACATAATTCCAAATAATTTGCTATTTTATCACGTTTGATAAAGTGCAAAACCATTTGCAGTATAAATAAAATATGTATGTATAAACTTAACACACAATAGTGAAATAAAGACAAGTGTATAAATAAATAAATAAATAAATAAATAAATAAATAAAAAAAAAAATATATATATATATATATATATATATATATGTATTATTGTGTATACATAGGATATAAAATGTATTATTAAATATACATAAATATTGTATAATTAATAGATTTAATAATACATATATATGTATTATTGAATTTAATTATGTAATATTTGTGTAATTATAATTATATAATATTATTACCCGCTAAAAATTACGATTTTTGTTAAAAAGTCTAATTACGACTTGTGTCTAAAAAAATCTGTTTGTTTAGACGTTACAATGCATTTACTTTCATAAAATAATTTTATTTGAAAATAAAATGTTATTATTAATTTAATTAATATATATTTGTGGTTCTCTAATATGACCAGTTCTTTGATATGTATGTAAAAATTAACGAATATCAAGCATTGAATTGGTAAAGGTATAGGTTTGCTACTATACGTGAGTTCACAATATGTCATCGAAATACTGATATTTGCTACTTATTTCTTGGAGGCGCCCTTTATGTTGGTTACAGCGTGAGAATGCCAACTGGCAGTCCATACTTATATAGTCAAAGATGTTTCATGATTGTGATTAAAAATATTGTTCTTTGATAATTTATGGTAACACTAGTCTAGTAAGTGGTCAAGTACTGATGATACTTAGTTATTATATAAATTACTTTGTTATGTTCGTTATTTGCTTATCTTTGCTCATCGTATATATATATGTGTTTTTATCAGTTTAAATATTTATCTGTTATATGGCACATTGAATTATAAATGGGAGATTCTATTATTTTAACAGAAAGAAGTCTCTAGGTATTTACAACAATCAATTGGGTCTGCGATTAGGGAATCAATTGTGTATTAACATAACGTGATAAAAATTGCAAAAGTAAGCAGATTCACTAGAGAGACCACTGAAATTGCAAATCTTCTAGTAAATTCGTTCACTTTTGTAATTTTTATCAAGTTGTGTCAGTACACAGTTGACCCTCAGAACTCGTATTATGCAACTCGTTGAATCGATTACGATTGGAATCGTTCAGTTATTCCCTAGATTTCTATTGTGATTTCTAGTGAAAACAAAATTATTTCTATTGGAATTGATTCCGATAAGTTCTATAACACGTTTTCAGATCATTCAATCGATTGGTATTGAAGAATTCCCTAGACTAATCGGATTAAGCGGGAAGAGTCGAGTCCCGATTGACCACGGTACGATTGGAGATACCACCATTTCGGTGCAAATAATTATCTAATAAATTACCAGGTCGAACCAATCATTATAATCTGTGTCCAATCGTACCGTGGTCAATCGGGTCTCCACCCAGGGCTGCGTTCGGAAACACACACTGTGTGTACACTACTAGATGATAGCCGTTAAAGTGAGTGAAATATAAGAGTGAGATAAAAAGAGAGGGAGAGTACTCGAGTGACGTTTCCGAACGCAGCCCAGTGTGGTCAGAAATCTCGTCCAGTAGGCACCGATAGTATTGAGAAAGGATAACAAACACAAACGTGCCCGTGTACATGTGGGCTCCGAACTAATAGCATGTTCGACTCTGGCTCTGAGTTAAACCCATTCTTTTGGGTTATTCAGCCTATGTCTATTGGTCAAACAAGTACTTCTCTTTATCTTCAACTTCAGCTTTATTATAGTGCCAAAAAAAGTTCCTTTGTCTTTTTATATATTTTTCCTATATATGTCTTTTCTTCTCATTTTTCCTTTTTATCGCATCTTAACCTATTTATATTCTTAAACCTATTCCTCTCTTCTTTCCTTTTTACCTTATATACCATTTTCTTATCCTAGGTATATCTCTAACCTATACTGGCAATTCCCATCTCTCCTTTTGGAAGCCAGTCTTTTTTATCCTTAGATTTTTTATCCTATATTCTCGGAAGTTTTGCCAAAGCCTACCGAAGGGAGTGAGAGTGAGTGAGTGCGAGAGTACGAAAATTTTTCTTTCCTCTGGGAATCGAACGAACTTGGGTCTCTAGCGTGGTAGACTAGTGTATAGTCCATTGTGCTACACTGTGCTGTGTTCGCACTCGGTCAAACAAATACTTATAAGCTTTATGATTGGCTAGTAGAGACTTATGACGTCAATAATCTCTCTCGAAGCGATTAACCCAGGGCCAGTCGAACACGCTATAAGTTCAGAGCGTACACGTACATGGGCACGTTTGTGTGCGTTATCCCCTCTGAATGCTACCGGTGCTACCAGGCGAGATTTCTGGCCACACTGGTTCCACCATGGACATAAGTCGGTATTTATAATCGGGTCTTATTTTTAAGACTGCTTAAGTTCATCTTCAGATACTCCGTAACCAATAAAATGATCCGTTCATCATCTGAAGATAAACTTAAGACGGTTTAAATATAAGATCTGACTATGAATACCGGTCATAGTATACATGGACTCTGAATGCCCTATCTTCTGTCGTATAATACAGTGAAGCCAACATCTAAAAAGAGAGCGAGAATAAAGGGATTATAGTTTTCTTCCTATTTTGTGACTTTTTTTGTTGCGCGTGCATCCATTTCTCGTTTCCATAATATTATAGAATGCAACAGTATCCTGACTAGACTGGCAAGTAAACGTCTTACTTAAATCTTATTGCACACTTTGTTTGTGCAGAAAGAGACAGAGAACAGAAGGGCTGTACATATTGGCTTCTCTTTTCTGACTGTATGCGGACTCTATGTATATTATGTCTACTTCTACATGTGGGTTCACTTTTCTAGCCGTATGCGAGGTTCATATATACTACGTCCATGGGTCCTATCCAGCGGGAAGCACACTCTTTTGCATGAAGACATAATATATATCGGCTCGTATTCTGAGTTCTCTTTTAACAATAAATGAGCATCTAAAAGTAACTCATAGCCAATCAGAAAGTTTATAAGCCACTTTTGTGGCTCTTGAGTTTGAGTTAAAATACTACTATTTTTAGTGGTATTTTAAATACTAAATATATTAAACATATATATGTGTATAATCTACGTAATACGTGTCTCTCCAGTGCCCGCTTTGCACATGTTTGCGCTTCGCGCTATGCGTACTTACGTCGCCGAAACATATGCACTAATTGTAATGCTTCATTATATAACATCCCGCTTTGAAAATTATCATTTGAAAGAAATTTTATCATAACTACGGAAAAAAGTCAACATAAAAAAATCATAAAATATAAATATAAATAAAAATAAAAAAATATAGAAAAAATAAAAAAAATAAAAAAAAAATAAAAAATTATAAAACAAGCAAAAAAGTAAAAAAAAAATACAAAATTAAACATTAAAAAACCAAACAAAAAGACTGCATAAATCTATATATTAATTTTTATTTATAGTGTTAATATTGCGCTTAGGACTCGAAATTTCATAAATCTATGCTAAAAATTGGAATCAGCGATACCAAAAACCTCGAAATATACTATTTTTGAGAAAATAAAAATTTTTTATATTTGATCGTGTGTTCCCTGCCGGGAAAGTCATTTTTGTAGCTCTGCACAAATCTCAAAATTCTGCGTCATGTGTATGTTACTTATATAGAAAAATTTTTGAGAAAAAAACCATTTTTTTAATGAAAAAATGCCGGCAACCTAAAGGTTAATGTTCCTGTCTATGGCCGGTATTTATAGTCGGATTTAAAGCCAGCGGCACATAATACTTGTTTCGTACTAGTTTAATTGCTGGATGGAAATGCTTTCTGATTAATGCATTTCTGAAGATAGATGGAAATGCACCAATTAAAGCAGAGTATTTCTATATAGCAAGCAATCCAGCACAAAATAAGCACCATGTGTGTGTGCCGCTGGTTTTATATTTAAAACCGTCTTAAGTTTATTTTCAGGTTTAAGTTGCTTTTCAGCAATAGACACAAGTTTCGAAAAGTAGCGTGTAATACTTCACAAAGCCAGAAAACAGAACGAAACAGAACAATAGACACAAGCGTTACAAACATCATCTTATCTTTGTTACATACAAAATATGGGACAAAGATAGAATGATGTTTGTGTGGATTTGCGTCTTTTGCTGGAAAGAAACATCAGATGATGTACTAATAATTTCATCATTAGATGTGTTAATAATTATAATTATTAAATGTATTCATTTTTCCATTTTTATTTTATAATAATTTTCATATGCGAGTGGACCTATATGCCCAATAAGCAATTTGTGCGCAGACTGACGTCAGATTGGTGACAGATTCGAGCAGAATCTGTCGACAGATCCATAGACATCTGCGTTTCCAATCTGCTGTTAGATTGTCGACAGTCTGCTGAACAGGCTTTGACGGCAGATTGGCAGCAGAATGCGTGTAGATCCTGCTGCCGTTAGAGTTTGTCAGCAAACTCTGCGAGCAAACTATCTCCAATCTGTTTATCAGAATCTGATAAACAGATACTGCGTGCAATCTATTGCCTTACTGTCACAGATACTGTTAACAGATTCTGTGCAAAATCTGCTCGCGCAGGTTTGGCTGTCTGGGTATGTGCTCTTCCATGTCGATCTAATTCGATCAATTTATAGGCAGGAACATTAATCCGACTAATCTACAGAGTAATTATTTAGTTTAGGGTCCTTACCTCCGATTTTGATGAAAGTAGGCTCAATCGACGCGTTTTTGCACGAGAAACAACTTTTTTATTTGACAAAATCGTCGTTCTGCGCCGGTAGCGAGATATTAGCCGACAAAGTTAACGGTGCGTTAGATTAGGAAATCTGTCATACCGATAATATGCAGCATATATGTAATACTACATATGTGTAATACTATTATATGGCTAACGGAACTCTCAGCAGTACCGCAATACTACGGTGCAGACAATGCTCGTCTGTTTTTATCTATTCAATATTAGTGTTCTGTGTAAAGCGCATGCGTGACGTTTACCCTTCTATCATGGACTAAATCATCAACATATAGCCTTGGTTTACATCGTCAAAACGTTAGTATGCGTATTAATTATTTGATGCGCACCAATGCTTTAATACGGGTGCGTTTACATCGTACTAAAGGAAAAATATAATACAAATTTAATTCATGTCGTTTACCTTCTAGTGGTAGTATTTGGAATTGCAATTTGTTTGAGATAGCTTCGACCGATAGGAGGAATGCATAATTCTAAAAATGTTCTCGTTTCTTCTTCTCTCCAATTTAACAAGACCTCTTCCTTTTTTACAAGACATTTTACTATAATATAATTTGAGAGAAACCTACGGTTACCGATAACACCGGTTTTAATTAGGTTAGGTTCCCTCCAACATTCGTTTTATATGTTTACATCGTCATTTGTATCATTTGATACGCGTATTAGTTTAATACGATACTCCTACTTGGTAAGTTCGCACCAAATTGATCCGTCAGTGTTTACATCGTACGTATTAAATATTTAGTACGAATTTGATACGAATATAGTACCTGATACGCGCATCAAGTGCACGATGTAAACCAGCCATAGTACTGGGATACTATTTCGTACATGCTTACCGACAAATGTCGAATCGGTAGATATCGTTGCGCAGTTCTTTTATACCATAGAAAAGCTACCCCAGATAGCCAAACCTGCAAAAGTCAGGTTTTGCTAAGTGTGTGCTGCATATTATGGCTGCATTTCGAAATGCACTGCCAGTACTGAAAATCTATAGTTCATGTTACGTATATTATAGAATTTCAATACTGGCAGTGAATTTCGGAACGCAGCCTACGTTGACATAATTTTGGAATTAACGAAGCATGATCTGTTATGTCAAATAGTGCGTGTACAAATGTAACAGAATTTTAACCGAATCTGCGTTATGATATGATGGCAAAAATAGTGCAAAAATGAGACACGATATGTCAGCTGAGCAAGAGAAAAATTTAAATATTAAGTGCAGACATGATTTTCAGTAAGCGGACAAAATCCATAAAAAGAGAGAGGATAACGTTGGCAACGTTCAAAAGTCTGTAGGATCCATAAATTCATTTCTGAAGATTAATATCATTGTTGAACGTTAGGAAAGTATACAGAGGTGCAAAGTTAACCTATCACAAATTTACACTTCTGTACACTCTCCTAACGTCCAACAATTATAACTTTCAGAAATAAATTTTTGGATCCTAGAGATTTTTGAACGTCGCCAACGTTATCCCCTTTTTTTATGGATTTTGTCCGCTTACCGATTTTTCGACATGAAGCAGTATAAAATCAAATAAAGAACGATGTCCTATGCGATATCTTCAAGATGTTTTTGGGATATTCTTGCTATGTGGAGTCACATCATGCAAACAGAAAGGCATAAGAAATCAAACTAATTATATTTCACGTTTGCGTACTTTTGCATGTTATCACAAAGAATGTTAAATCTATTAAATCTTCGCCTTACTAAATCTATGAGTTTACTATATTCTAAAATAAATACTAAAAAGATTAGCAATACTCCTACCCAAATAGCACAGAGAATTAAAAAAGAATTCAGTCGTATGTCACCAATTCTGAGTTCATTTTCAGATGTAAAAAGAATTCTTCAGAGCTCAGTTCAGTGAAAAGATTTCTTTTTGTATCTAAAAATGAATTGGTGGCATACGACTGAATTCTTTTAGAATTCTCTGTGCTATCTGGGTACGCAAGATAGGATGTATGAATCGCATACAAAAACAACACACTTTTAAGACTATGCGATATGCATTTTTCTTTTTCTTAGAAAGTTATTTTTATCAAACGGGGGGCGAAGCCCCCTCTCCTCCCAAACCTCTTCTGACTAAGGACTTCGCTGGATCCCTAGTTCGTACGCAAATGTTTAAATAATGTTTCGTTACTCATGCATATACAAATATATTTCAAATTTGTGCACTGTTTGCATATGCATATTACCACAATGTATGTAGCCACGGGGCATGTATGTACATGTTGCTGTCATAGACGACTATATTAAACTAAATTGCTAACAGGTTATCTAAAACATGTAAAGCTGGCCACACATATTTTCCGTAACAGTAACCGTAAGACGTAATTCGTATGTACTTGACCGGAAAAAACTCCGGTTGGAAAACTATTCTTTTAAATTGTTTGTATTTTGTATGAAGAGTTTTGAAGTGCAATTGAAAAGATTTGTGAGTCATTCTGTTACTTGTAATTAATTGTTCTTTTTTGGACCATATATTTAATCGGAAATAATGACCGGAGGTAAATTAAACAAAGATTCGGTATGGTATCATTTGTATTTCGTATAAAGAGTTATGAAGTATCATTAAAAAAGTTTGTGAGTCATCCAGATAATTTTAATTAAATATTAAAATGCATATGCATATTACCAAATCATGTATTTGGCCGAAATATCGATCTTAAGCGCTGCTGTGGAAGTACCGTCAGGCACAATCGGTGTACTAGTATTTCAATACTCCTGGTTCTTTTTTGGGTAATTATGTACAATAAGGCCTCTTTCGAATTTTGATATTTTTTTGCAGCTCTTTTGGTAAAAATATTTATTTTGAATCCAACATTGATAATCAATTGGGGGAGTCCGAAAAATATGCAAGTTATATATTGTTTTAATTTTTTTAAAATTTTTTTTCACTTGTCAAACGCTGCTGCTTTCCCACAATTTAAACAAGTTACTGATCTTTTAATCACATTATGTAACTGCGATATCGAACGACTAGCGGGGAGCTGCGCCCGCCGCACTCCCCTCAAAACTAACCAAACTCAACCTATCGTCACATTAGACGACGTTAGTCATTGTTTATTAAAAAATTATTAAGAAAAAAAGTTGAACACTTTAATAAACAATGACTGACAGTTAATGTAACGATAGGTTGGGTTAGGTTAGTTTTGAGGGGGGTGCGGGGGGCGCAGGCCCCCCCGCTAGTCGTTCGATATTGCAGTTACATAATGTGATTAAAAGATTAGTAATTTGTTTAAATTGTGGGAAAGCAGCAACGTTTGACAAGTGAAAAAAAAGTTAAAACAATATATAACTTGCATATTTTTCGGACTCCCCCGATTGATTATCAATGTTGGAGTCAAAATAAATATTTTTACCAAAAGAGCTGCAAAAAATATCAAAATTCGAAAAAGCCCTTATTGTTTCTGCACACAGGAAGCGGTAATGCTTGCCGCGCGGCGAAAGTTCGCATGACAGCCAATCAATATGCTGCTTTCCGTAATAACCTTCTAGCTCTTGTGGAAAAACAACATATTGATTGGCTGTCGCGCGGACTTTTGCCGCGCAGCAAGCATTACCGCGTCTTGTGTACAGGAGCCATTATTGTACATAATTATCCGAAAAAGAACCAGGAGTATTGAAATACTAGATAGTGCACCGATTGTGCCTGACGGTACTTCCACAGCAGCGCTTGAGATCAATATTTCGGTCAAATACATGATTTTTTAATATTTAATTAAAATTATCTGGATGACTCACAAATCTTTTTAATGACACTTCAAACTCTTCATACTAAATACAAACGATACTATGCCGAACCTTTATTTAATTTACTTCCGGTCATTATTTCCGGCTAAATACATGGTTCAAAAAAGAACAATTAATTACAAGTAATAGAATGACTCACAAATCTTTTTAATGACACTTCAAACTCTTCATACTAAATACAAACGATACTATGCCGAACCTTTATTTAATTTACTTCCGGTCATTATTTCCGGCTAAATACATGGTTCAAAAAAGAACAATTAATTACAAGTAATAGAATGACTCACAAATCTTTTTAATTGCACTTCAAAACTCTTTATACGAAATATAAACGATTTAAAAGAATAATTTTCCAACCGGAGTTTTTTTTCGGTCAAGTACATACGAATTAAGACATAACGTAAGAATTGACCAATTACGATCGAGTATTCATAAAAATGACGACCTTACAATTCAACGATTCTCAACATGATTGGTCAATTCTTACGTTACGTCTTACGGTTACTGTTACGGAAAGTGTGTGTGGCCAGCTTAGGGGCCATCTACAATGGAAAATCGTACGCCGTAACAGTAAGAAATTAACCAATCATATTGGATTTTTACAAGAATAGTCGATTGTGATTGGTTAATTTCTTACTTCTGCAGCGTACGATTCTCCATTGTAGATGGCCCTTTAAGGGCCGTGGCACACAGAAAAACTTAAGCAGTAAGATGTAAGAAATAAGCAAATTGACCAATCACAGTCGTTGGTTCTTGCACCGTAAGAAGAATCAATGACTGTGATTGGTCAATTTGCTTACTGCTTAAGTTTTTCTATATGCCACTAACTTAACGGTGTCCGATAGAGTTTCCGATGCATGCGAGAAAATGGCCGCTACCGCCATATTTTCACTGCGTTTAGTCATAAAATTCTTTTGTTGAAAATGAGCAGAGCAAATATAATAACGTCCATCTATTTTTTTGTTACATTTTTTTATGCAATAAGATGCTGGCATTTTTTGGTTTTACGACAGTAATTTAATGGCCACACTGATTCACATTGTACGTTGTAAGTACTCACACAAGTGGGAGTGTCCCGATTGACCACGGTACGATTAGACACAACCAACCGATGCAAAGAATTATCTAGTGAATTACCAGGTCGAACCAATCATTGGCTGCGTTCAGAAAATATAGCTGATCAGTGAGCGGTCAGTGATTATTGGTCCTTACTGTTAGATCCCTAACTTTAGACCAATTACGTTGACTAATTACTTAACCGTTGTGTCTCCTGAACGCACCCATTACAATCTGTGTCCAATCGTACCGTGGTCAATCGGGTCCCACCCTATATAAGTGACACATCACACAGGATGCTTTCCAATTGCTTAAAGTACCAGACTATAGATTAGGATTGAGATTGAATTGAAATTTAGGCAATCAGAGCAAAATTTACTAAGCTCAAGTTTGGTGAACTTTGCTCTGATTGGCCAATTTTCAATTCAATCTAAATCTTAATCCATAATCTGATACGAGCTTAACACATCTTGACACATATGTACACAGAAATGCACAAAGTGTAACGTTGTGCACGATTCAATTGGAACAAAGTGTGTACTAATGTGTATGTATATCGGGTAGGGTTAGGATTATTTTTCAACTATGTTTATATTTTGATATTTTGTAATAATAAATAATAAAATCTAAATAATAAAAAAGATATTATCCACTTCACGTCGCAAATGCCAGTCTTTTTTCAAGCTGCTACGCTTATTAACTTTAATTTTCACTAGAAAACATTAATTTACACAGCCGAGTAATAGCCTTCGAACTGAGTAGTATTGTGTCGACGATTACGACAATTGGAATGCAACTTGTGTCACCGTGTGCATGAAAGTGCATGGGGTGCTTTCCAATTGCTTAAAGTCCAGCCGAGTCGGCGCCTCACTGTGATTGGTCCATTGAGAGTCGGCAGTCGTAGTCAGCAGTCGGGTCGGCCTGTGCAGTCGGTAGTCTGATACGGGCTTAACACATCTTGACACACACGTACACAAAACCAGTTTATTGGTCACATATTATCTAAAATATCTTGTAAGATAATATGCAACCAATAAATTGGTTTTGTGTAACACAGTGTACGTAACTGGAAAGCACCTTAGGGATATTGCAATTGGAAAGCACCCAGTATTGGATGTCTGAATATAGTCGGTAACATCGATGTTCTTGTATTATCCTTCACTGGTAACTGTGAAACTTTACCTAGAGTCGATGATAACATTTTAAGGCTAATATTTCATTTGTTGTAAGACAAGTGTTATCGAATATGACGATTGGCTATCGGATAGAATATTTTTAAAGTTTCTAAAATTTTCTCCGAGCACTTTAGAAATTTTCTAACAGTCAAGAAATATATCCGGTGAACTTATCGTACGAGAAATAAAATATTAGCTTAAGGCTTTTGATCAGTCATCCGAAAACTCCGTGTTGACGGTGGTGACATGATTATAAACGGCAAAATGATGAACTATTTAGTTTACAAAGTATATTAAGTTTACAGACTATTATAATAAGTTGGACCGAAAGAAAATATACTTGTCTTTCTCTAACTTATTACACTAGTACAAAGTTCATCGAAAAGAAACAGATCTAATGATAATAAATAGATAGTAAATAGACAACCAATTTTCTCCTACAGCATTATTACTGAATATAGTGCGTGTATGTCACATGTGATATAATTGTGAAAGTGTGAAAATGCTTCGGATACTGTGCTTATTGTGATATTTAATGCGTATAAATAAGGTGACCAGATTTCTCAGCCCTGAATTCGGGACACTTCATAAATGTATGAAGCGGGGGAAGGACGATAAAAAGATCCGAAAATTATTTGACAATCATTGAAAATGATGACAAATCGGTGTCCCGAACAGCACTCGAAAAAATTCGGAACAAAGGGTGAAAAATCGGGACGTCTGGTCACCTTAGCTGTATGTGTCGAGAAGGGAGGAGATTACTCCATAATAATGTACTTACGATATATCCTGACGATCGCACGTCGTTATTTTCGGTACTCTAATACTTATTTCCGCAGGAGACTCACAGGACACAAGCGAAAGGCGTATGGAATACGGAACGTTGTGTCAATGGCAGTTGCTCAGCATGAAAAGACGTGCGCGCTGTCAATCACGTACACCAAAAGTTCATTAGTGCGCCGAAAGTGGCAAAAGTGCATAAATGTGAACATACCAGTGATACGAACGAGATCGCACGTCTATAACGACGCGATCTGTACGGACGCTTTAACCACTTGCTCGAGTTACTAAGGGGCTAAGCACAATAAAAGGAATAAGGAACAGAGAATAAGGAATAAGGAATACTGAAAATAAGAAATAACGCTATTCCTCTGTTCCTCTATTCTGTTTCTCTATTCTTGATAGACGTTGTAAATTAGGTTTCATGTTTTAATAATGAACTGTTCCCTATTTTCTGTTTCCTGTTCTCTATTCTCGATTCCCTATTTCTTATTTCTTTTATTATGCTCAGCTCCTAACTACTCTAGACCAATCGCGTTCGTTTCGCACTACAAGGTTATCATCGCGGTTATTCAATCTAAGTATTGGTAATGAATTGCGCGAAATGCTCGATCTTTTCGCGCCAAGCAGCAGCCATGGGTATACATCAATCCACATCGCTCCGCGTTTCTCGCGTCTTTTATCCGTCGAAAATGAGTCTCGCGCGTTAATAAGTCTTGGGTGTGTCGAGAATAACGATGTGCGATGTCGCTGGGGCGTATCGTGAAAACGTGATTTGTAAGTAATCTTCTCATTTCTTCTCGCGGTATATATAAGGTGATCAGATTTCCAGGTCTGAATTCGGGATTCTTCATAAATCTGTGAAACGGGGGTCAGAGGGAGGGGGCTAAAAAGATTCGAAAATTATTTGACGATTATTGAAAATGATGACAAATCGGTGTCCCAAATAGCACTCGAAAAAATTCGGGACAAAGGATAAAAAATCGGGACTTTGTAGAAATATCAATAGAATCGTGTTTATAAAGCAATGTTATAAATTTTTGTGCATAAAAAGAGAAATGGATGTTTAAAATTAAATTATATTTTTTTAGGCAAATCATAACGATATGTGTTGACGTTCGATTTTGCGAAATCTTTACATAAAATAAACTTTAAATGTTATTTGATCTTGAAAGAAACATTTTTTGAAAAGTTTGGGAGGCTATAAAGAGTTAATGTGGAGATTATGTAATATGGGTTATTCTATATTTGATATAGGAGTAATATAAATATTGGAAGAAAGGATATAGACGTGACGATACACGACGACAGTCGATACGAATGATAAGAAATTGTTTTTCATGTGTGAAAAGAAATTTTATTGATAACGTAGAGACGTTTGAGTATGTATATAAATTGTGTGTATAAAAGTATAAAAAATAAATAGCGACAGCGTCGTCATTTTCTTAAGGACAATGAATCGATCGCGATGTGCACTCTCGACAATGGAGCTCTGTTAATTAGGCTTCTTATGTTATCACGAATGTTATCACGATATAATACAAACGAGTCAAACCGACTCTGTGACAGAGAATGTAAAATATTAACGAAGTTGCAGTTGCTATCAAATACTCTCTGCGAGATGAAGTAGAAACTTAAAATACCTTCTCTCTCTCTCTCTCTCTCTTTCTCGTTCCGTTGCTCGCTTATCAAGATCAGAGTCCCATTGATCAAAATAGGATTATTATTATTTACTCGTTTATTTTTACTCGAGCCCGAAGAATGATATCGCGCGCTCAACCGGAATGTTTTAACAGCAGCGAGGAAACGTCACAAGTCGTAATCTCGATCGGTGTTTTTCATCGACGTGTTGCGTGTTTTCGGAATCCACGCTTGCGTCAGAGATACTTCTCTCATACTGCGAGAAGTTGCGCGAAGGCTCCGGCCGTGAGTACTTACGCTACGCTAATTAATGCGTAATTGATCGCCGCGAGCTGTCCGCGACGCGTCAGTGTCCTTCTCGATGAGCGCGAGCGCGCGGCATTTGTCTCTCGAATATGCTCGCGCCATTATCTTAAATTACTTTCGCGCGGCCTCGTTCGCGAGGAGACCACTCCTCGCGCGCGACAGTCGATTTATAATCTACGCTAATCGTCCCTAATTGACAGAGAGTCGGTAGGCGAATGGGGCCAATCGCGTGCGACGCTATCACGTACAACTCTCGAGAGCCTCTCATAGTCGGCTCATAAATATTATACATTCCGCGCGACTTGCCCAGTCAGACGCTTGGACGATGTCTAGGACGATTTCTGTTTGAATGATAAATTAGGGACCTCCTGGAGTCGTCACGCGACGGCTCATGTATTTTCGGAGGAATCTTTTTAACAGGAAAATAAGTTCTGATTCACCATTATGTGTGAATGAATACCAATCCAGCTATAGAATCTGAAATTAATATATGAATCTTTGCCGTCTCGTTTCGTGTGGCAGTGATCGACCATGTCGTTTATCTGCGACTTGCTTGTTGAATATTTTCTGAATTCACATTCTTGCTATTAATGTCCCGCTCATCGAAACATATTCTCAGTATAACGCAGATGAAACGTTTTAATACGGAAGAAATATTGTAATGAAAATTATGATAAAATTTTTGTAATCTTAGGCCATATATAATTATGACAGATGTTATTGTATTTTTATTGAAAAGTGAATAAATCTTAAAAAATTATTGTCTGGGTCCTTAATAAACAGAAAATATTTTGAAAATCTGATAGCAGATTCATAATCAGCGACCTAAAAACTCCTAGATACTGAATTTTAGGGAAAATAATTCATTGTGAAAATTCGTGCAACAGAGTGTAGATTTGTATAGCGACATTTTTCAATATATTTGAAACATTCTAAAAAATGTGCCCATCACTTTCGGGACAAATAATTTATATTTTCCGTTTATTGAGAACTTAGATAACAATTTTTTATTCACTTTTCGTGAGGAGGTCAAAATTAACACTTTTTAAACACTCTCCTTTATACAATTTCGATATAGTTGAACCAAACAACGTTGTAGAAAGAAATATGATTCTAACTTTAATTTTTCACTACAATATATAATTAAATTTTGTTACAATATTTTCTCCGTATGCAAATATAAATTTCGGAATTTCCGTGTCGATCGTGCAAGTCGTATTGGTTCGTCATTAATCCGAATTATGTTAAATTATTGCTCTCTACAATCGACGCAATCAGTATTTTCTCAAGTCTTTGTTAAATCTGTCGGTTCAAAGAGCTGGCGAATTCGTCTCTAATTATGAACCGTTTCACTTTTGCATCAACTTTTCATAAATAATCTTGTATACACAAAATAATACGCACGCACGCATACACACATATATTTGAGTCTTTGACGCGAATATTCGGTATATTATATCGGAACGTCGTTGTGCCACTGTTGCGACAAACATTTTCATACAAATTCTCTCAGTCAATGTTCTCGTTTTTCATAGGTTCCAAGCGAATCGTCGGCAACACTTTCCGCGAACAGAGTTACGGAGGATCCAATATAATATACAAAACCGACGTTCCATTTCCTCGTATCGAAGCTACCTTCCGTTAACACGTTTCTCTCGCTAGTTCTTCCATGATCACTTCCTCGTGAATCAACGTCTGCGATTACTCCGCCGTGATTCGGAGAATCGGGATGAATCTCTCTCTCTCTCTTTTCATGGTAACGTGAATCACGACCCACGTAATCCGGAATGACACGGTATTACGAGGGAGTAGCCCATTATTTCATGCCGTGATATCCAGCGAGCTTACAGCTCGCTTTGTTCCTTGGTGACGTCGTGTAAACAACAAGTGTAGTTTCACCGTGTTCCTCGAGTTACTTTTCGGCTATCAACCGATTGTTCAGCATCGCGCCGACGGATCCGAGTGGATCCGAAAGCTCGTCTTCTACGCCGGCGCCTGCACCACTGGTCGTTGCGTTGGCACCGAGATTACGTAGATGTCGAGCTTCTCGCCGGACGTCTTGTCCACGATCTCGCCGTAGTTGACGGAGTCGTACGGTGGCGGAGCGAACAGATGATAAGGCGGCGGCGGGGTCTCCGCGACGCCGCGCGAGCTTATCACCTCGGTAGGCTGCGCGTACGGCATCGCGAGGGGTCGTGCGGCCCGTCGGCAGCACCATTCGGAGCAGCTGACGATGAGGAAGAACGCCACCAGGCCGCCGAACGAACCGATGTACCAGACTATCGACCACGGGTCCAACGGGTTTTGCGGGTCGCTCTTGACTATAACAAAGTAGGAACCTGTGAGGGAGTCGTTCGTTAATAATAATAATGATCGGGAATTGCGTTCGTCGGATAGCTACGTGCATGCGAGAAAATGCTATCGTTCGCACCTGACGTTTCGCGAAAACGCGTTAGCAATCTGCGGTTTCCCCTCGCATATCGACCATGAGATCCTATTTTTTCATATTAATCTTATCATTTCGCGTTAATGAGTCTATTAATGAGAAAATTTTATATCTAAAGGGAGGGAGATAGATAGATAGATGGATGGATAGATAGATAGAGAGAGAGAGAGAGAGCGGAGGAGCAATTAAAAAAATAGGAGATATTTAGGTTGATTCTTTATTAACCCTTTGCAGTGAGACGTTCCACTTTTTCTCCCATTTTTTAATATTTCTGCTGCATTTACTTTTAATTATTGATAGAATTATACGATTTATACTTATAAGAGTCTAAACTATTACTTTTGCATAATAATTTTAATTAATTATATGATATACTATTAATTACAAGCAACTAAAAATAAAAAAGTGGTTCTTCTCGAATTAATTCAATCACTGAGTCTGTATTATTCAGTAATTAAGACATGTGATTTACTTTTCAGTTCAATTACCGATACAATTGGCATTATCTAACATATTATTAAAATTGCAATTGATATTTATTAATTATTTAATCTCTTATTATTTTTCGATCGTTGACAAACTAATATTTTATATAAACGTGAGTTTTATTAATAATTTTATCAAATATTTGTTAATAAAAATGTAAAACTGATCGTACTCCCTTATTGATTCAGTCATTAGGACATTTACCTTAAGATGATAATTTATTATATGCCGCGCGTTTTCTAAAAATTATTTTTTTAAAGGATTACTGCAAAGCTCGCTGGATGATCAATATCGGTGATCTTTCGACGGAGAATCATGAATAGAAACATGATATATTTTCTGACTTGTTTACATGAGATCCAAGCGGCAAAAACTATCGCCGGACACTGATCTCGAAACGCGAAAGGCGTAAACAGACGTGTCTTTACTTGCGAGACGCGTACTCTTTTGTTTGCGCTTCGTGATGCCGTCCACGATGGAAATACGACGCGACGCGACGAACCGCGAATCTCAAGTTATCTTGACGTTGAGTTGCGCTATTCGCCGCGAAAACTCATCTCGGCGGAACATTAATGCACGTTTCTACCGACGTCGATTAAACCTTAACCCGAATTATGATATCTTTGTTTGAATAGTGTTTAAGATCTAATTAAATGTTTTATCTACGTTGATAGAAACGGTTGATGGAAGAGAAAACGACGTTATTTATTTATTTCTTAACAGAGTGTCCCAAGAGAGTCTGCAAGTGCGCGTGAGGATATTTCGTTAAGGGAATGCCAAAATGGATGACAAATTCGAAAAATATCGATAACGTAGAGATAATCATCACTACAGAGATATGCAATATTGTTTGTACATATAGATCTTGTATAAATATATGTTGTTTCGTTTTATCACGTTGGTAGGAAATATAAATAAGGTAAATGTCCCAATAACTGAACTAAGAAAGCATGATTAGTTTTGCATTTTTATTAATAAGTAATTGATGAAGTTGTAAAGAAAACTAACGTTCATATAACTTCAGCGATTGAGAAATAATAGGAAATAAAATAATCTATAAATATCAGTTATAGTTTTAATAAGATACATTAAATAATGCCAGTTGTATCAATAATTGAACTGAGAAATGAATCATGTCCTAATTACTGAACAATACAGGCTTAGTAATTGAATGGTCATTAAATAATATTATAAATTTCAGGGCATATATAAAGAAATGTCTTTCAACAAAATTTTAAAGATTTTTTTTTTAAATACTAGATACAAATATATTTTTAATATTTCAATCATTTAATCATCATACTTTATATAGCAATCTTTCCGCAAACTTTCCGTGTACTTTTACATTCCGAGCTTTTACATTTAGTTGTAAAGATATGTAGAAATGTACCTTAAAATTTATATAGTGGAGCAAATGTGATACATACAAGCTACAGAACTTTCCTTTCAAGTACATTTTTACGTCAATTAGCAGCCCGAGATGTTAATTTTAAAATTTTTTATTGTTTTCATTAAATATTGAGCAATGCTCCAATTAATTCCATAACGAAATTGTTTGCTGTTCTATATTATCGACCATTTGTTGCGGATATTAGTATCTTATTAAATTAGCAAAACTATTTTTCTCAGTGTAATACAACTTCGTAGAAAAAAGTTAGTTCTGTCAGTTCTTTGTCAGAAAAAATTCGATTCCAGCATCCTCTTAATTTCAGTAATGATTGAAATTTGTTACGTTCTTTTGCTAAAAGAAAGTTATAAACATTGGGGAATTAAATAATGTTCTGATAAGAAATCTAAAACAGTAAGAACAATTTTGTCCCAATTTTTTTACAAACCCGTACAAACCGCGTTAGTGAAAAACAGGGAAGCAGACGAAGAATTAAACGCGCGCGATTTGAAAATGCTGCGTTTGAACGAATCTCTACGCGATCGGTGTTCGCGACACGACGACAATTTTGCACGTATGACACGGTACGATAGTAGCATAAATATCACGCGAGAAGTTTTCGAAACCACACCCCTAGTTTTTTCTTTTCGAGCGGCATACACGAGGCGCGTAATACGTGAGATTCACGGACGAACGTCACAAGCAACGCTACCGATCGCTGTTGATGCGTGATGCGTACGTGACGACGAACGCGGGACTCGATGTAAATGAAGATGAAGAACGACTGCGCATCTGCATAAATCCTTGGCACGTGTGACAGTGTTTGCTCTATGCAGTCGAGATTTTAACGCGCGCTGGAAGATCGCGAGCTTCGTTTTTTATGGATCTCATTTTTCGCCTCGCCTTACTCGACCTTGCAGGCGATAAACTCTACCATTTTCAAGGTACTTACGCTTTAATACGATTTCTATCATATGTTATTACTCGTCCCCTTTTAGATTTGTTCCCGACATCTCATCTCGCCATATACATACTTATATAGGGTGTTTTAAAACAACCTCAGAAGTTCTGAACGAAGTTCGTTTTGCGATGTTCGCAATAATTATCGAGACATTGGTTAAAAAAGATTTGTGAATGATCACGCGAAATATGATAGATGAGCTGTAGTGGCGACATCTACCTTCGTGTGCTTGTACATTAGATCAAATAAAAAAGCTTTTTACCTTTTCTTAATAACTTTGTAGATTTTTAGTTATTAATTAGAAAATATTAATATTTTATCGCGAGCGACCAATTTTCTTTAATTAATAATTAAAAATCTACAAAATTATTAGGAAAACGGTAGAGAACTTTTTTGTTCAGTTTGACCTAATGTACAAGCACACGATGGCAGGCACTACGAGAGCTTTGGAGATTGCTCTGCGACACTCTGTATATGTTATAGTCAAAGTCCGTAGCGCGGACTCTTACGATTGACTGATCAATGTGCGGAACAACCAAACGATTTGATCAAAGTCCGAAATATAGTTTTGTGTTTCGGCTTTTGACTTAGTTGTTCCGCACATTCACCAGTTAGTCCTAGGAACGCTACAGGTTTTGACTATAACATATATATCTAAAGAAACAGTGGACTGCGGATATTTGTGTATATAATTTTTCGATTTTGCCGTAACAATTAATAATCATTCGATTCAGTACGCTTACACAATAAAGAAATTAAATAAGATTTTTTATCGTTACTGTTACACACACAGTTTTCCTGCTACAAAACTTTTTACGTTCGCTAGTATTTAATTAGCGCCAACAAGCGGAATTCACTGCGTGAAATCGTCTGCGACATCATTAAATTGCGAGTAACATTGAGTTGACAAAAAATGCTCTAAGCAAGAACCGAGTATGATTATGTTAAAACATATAGCTGTTGTATAATCGTCACGTAATGATTACCTGCGATCGATGAGTGCAAATTTATTGGATTCGTAAAAGTCGCTCGACTTGTTCACGTTTGCCGTAACACGACGTATACGGTATGCATACGCTTCACGGTCGATTGACGTGAACTTGACACAATGCCGGAGGAAAAAAATTGCGGGCAAGTCAACAATGCAATTTGATATCGCGAGAAGCAAAGCGGCAACAAGTATATAATTGCTAATGAATCCTAGTAGGTCATAGGTCGCGAGTCGATAAAAAGAAATTATGCATTTGGATTTTCCTGAAGGCCTAATGTCAATGCAGGAGACGCGACGAGTATAAAAAAGCACTGGATTGGAAAGGGAAAAACAGGACGACAAGAAAACGGCAAAAATTTCGCACGAATGACGCAGGAGCTTCGCAGAACCGGGATAACGGGAACGATTCTGACTCGTGATACGCGACGATTCATAATTAAGCGCGAATAATCGTGAAAACGTTGTTTTCGCGTGGTTATTTCTGCATGAAAGCAATATAAATCCTTACCATCCTTGGTTCTTTCTTTCTGCATGTTATTCTCTCTCTCCTCCTCGTTGTACTCGATCACGTAGACTGTCTCCTCATCGTCGTTGTCGTCGTTGTCGTCGTCGTCGTCATCGAATTTCGAGACGACCGAGTGACGGTTGTCGTTCACGCCGCGAGTCATTTTATTGCTCTCCATCAGTCTTTCAGCGCCGAAACTGTAGCTCGATACCGCGTGAGCTGCAACAAATCGCGATCGATTAGTCGGACGTGCTCAACTTTATCGCACGAATGCACGTATTATTCACCTCGCGTAGCCTATCGTGCGTTCTCTTCGTGCAATTTTAAACCGACCGACTTAAAATTGCGACACAGCTTACGGAGTGTCTCGCAATTATAACAGTTAATTTTAGTAGCGTATTCTGGAACTTGATCAGAATTAAAAATCTTGTTGCGAAAATCGAGAAGATCGCCTTGGTTTATTTATTTCAATTGAAAACGAACTGGATAAGAACTATATACTCTGGATTATACTCTCTAAATCATAATCAATATATTTCTCATTGAAATGTTGTGCTTATAACTATACGGAAAGAATATTAACAATTTCTGCTGACTGCAGGCGTCACTATTGCATCTCATCTGTTGTGTCGCACGCGATAATACGTTAATGTTCTTTGATTAATAATTAAAAAATCTACGTGGTTATTTGCAAAATGATATGGAATTTTTTTGTTCGATCTGATTTACAAGCACACGACTGCAGGCATCGTTGTCGCAGCTCATCTGCTATATCGCGCGCGATTATTCGTCAATCTTCTTTATTATCCTTTGAATCTACATGTACATAAAGTATGGGACACATTTTGCGTCAGACACCCTGTGTATTTTCTTGGAATGATTTTTATGGAAGAATGTGATTACATTCGCGAGCAAATGTAATTGTTTTTGTACAATAAAAACGGATTCACGATGGACCAGTCAATTTTCGATTACACAGACCTGCAAATTTCAGACCAGAGTAACCAGACCAGACCAGACTAAGAAGCAGAGTACGTGATTCCGAAGGTTTTTGACGTGCTGAAACTGAATCCGTCATCCAAATTTTTTCATCACGTCAGAATTCGGAGATGTCTTAACCTAAAAGTGTTAAAATAGCTATTTTTTGGTGTTTTTAAATATATGTATCTCTGAAATCTATTATATAGATGATAAAAGTTTAATAAAAAAAAAAAAAAATGTCATGTAATCAATATTAATGGAAGTCATTATTGTTACACCGTTTATGGTAAAGATCATTTATATTTCTAAACATCAAATCGTTAAAAAACCAGCGCTTTTGAATTTTTTATGTAAATTAGTATATAAAAATTTCTGGTCGCTCTAACATTAAATCTATTGCCCAAATTCAAGTAAAATTCAAAACGGCGGATAAAAAATAGTCAATGAAAAAATACATGCAAATTTGAAAATATACAACTTAAGTTATTTAAAGGCTATTGAATTTTACTATTTGGACAGAGTAGATTTCAAGTTAGAGACCAAAAGTTTTTTTATACTAATTTATGTAAAAAATTCAAAGGCGTTTTTTAACGATTTAATGTTGAGGAATATAGTGACCTTTACCATAAACAGTGTAACAATAACGATTTCCGTTGATACTGATTTTATCATTTTTCTTGATTAAATTATCATCTTTTATAGATTTTTTCATGCAGAATCCGTTGTCCAAATTAATATATAACTTATCATTTCAGAGTTATATACATTTAAAAACGCTAAAAAATAGTCATTTTAACATTTTTAGATTAAAACATCTCCGAATTCTGACGTATTGGAAAAATTTGGATGACGAATTCGGTTTCAGCACGTCAGAAACCTTTGGAATCGCGCACTCTTGGATCTGAGAAAAATTTTTTTGCAAGCCTGTGTTATTTCAGATTGACTTGTTTTTTTTCGAGTAATTGCGTCGATTATCCGCGAAACATCGCGAAAATAACTGCGTTGTATCATAGAGCGGACAAATAACTGCCGCCAGCAGGAACGCAGCACCGCTGTGTACGTTGACGTCGACATTGTCGCGGTGTACATATTTTATCGTTCCTAAGAAGCATCGCGTATCCACTTTACGTCGCTCTGCGCTGATAAACTCTTCGCGCGAACTTTCGAACTTTAAAACGGAAGTCTGTTTAAAGTCTTCGCGTGCAGGCGCCTCCTCGTGAAAACGACTCCTTCTGTCGCGCGGGCGTTGTTTGAAGTTCTACCTGGCGTCTGGGAGAAACGGCCGAGGTACATCGTATTTACGGAGACACCGACTTGATCGAAATATTCGCGAAATTCTGCTCGGCGGCAAAATCGAGATAAATCGCCGACGATAACGACGAATAATGGTCGACGGCGTCTAGCGACGACGGTAAATCATTGCACATTGCCAAAGTATTGCATTCAGGTTGTTATTAAGAAGGATTAAGCCATTCGCAAACCTATTGTTCGGCCGTCAATAACTGTCGATAATTCGCAGTCGGTTTTGCCGGAAGTATCGAGACATTATAATAGCCTTTTAGTCATCGCATTACAATAGCATTCTAATCATCGTTTTTAGTCATCGAGAATTCGAGGTTCCCAGCCAATTAAGTCTCAGAGATGATAGAAGTCGGATACAGGATTTTGCATTTAATGAATTGCGCGCTGACTTCTCGTTCTAACAGCCACGAGTGCGCAATCTAAGACTAAGATGTGACGATAATCGATTATCGTATTTTCACGTGTTTTCCTTCCGTGAGGCACGATACGATGTTCGTTATGCATCTACACGCACGCGCACGTTATCGGAAGATACACACGCGTAGCTCACGTCGAGCTTTAACGCGAGACGTTTTAACGATCCGCGTAGATTCGAAATACCGACAGTTTCGTCGATTCACGAAACTACAGTTCTCTCGTGGCGTAATGCAAAAGTTGCTGACTTTCGTACACGTGCCGTTATGCGTTCTCTTGTACGTAGAATAAATCTGAGAAATTTAATAGACGGATATTAGAGAAGTGACGAGAAAGATGGGTAAAATGAACCGATTTTAATCTAATAAATGTAATGTAAATTATACATGTAATCTTGTGTTTTTTAAGTCGCTGAATACGATGATAGCATTTGTATCCGTCTAAATCCATGGAAAAGTAGTTAAAATTCGTCTTAAAGGGATCGAGATAAGTCACTTTTAAAAGTAATTCAACGACGATTTTGTTCAAATTATGTAATCATTTGTATTATAGTTTAGATTCATAATTTTTTCATTGAAAACCAAGGAAATTGAAACCACACTTTAAAATGAAATCTCATATGGTTTATAGCACTATTAGTTTTGTGCTTGAACTCGAATTGCCCTTTTTTCTATTTTTTGATTAAAATAAAACACTTCAGAAATACTAAATCTAATATAGGGAAATCAATATGATATGCACATACGCTTTATTGATTTCGTTATGTTAGATTTAGCATTTCTGAAATTTAATTTTAAAGTGTTTCCTTTTTGTTTTGTTCAGTAAAAAAAGTTATAAAACTAAACTATAACAATTCTTCAAAATTTTTCTGTTTAGAGCATCCACACTTTTGGTATGTATAAGTTGCGGAGTTTTGGATTGGGCAAATATTGCAAATATTACGCTAACTGACAGCTTGAGATTTTATATTAAAACTTTTTTTTTCGTTTTCGTCACATATTGAAGAATGCTTTATTTATTTTTGCACGTACTTTCATGGCGTAAAAATATTTTCTATACAACCAATACGACGTGAACTTTGTAAAAAATGTTAGTATTTTGTTGACGTTTTCAGCTGTAGGATCCCCTTTAAGGCGAATTTTGATTACTTTTCCACGAGTTCAGACGGATAAAAAGGTTATCATCATGTTCAGCGATCTAAAAAACGTAAGATCACATGTACAATTTACGTTATATTTTCTAAGCCAAAATCCGCACATTTTATTCATCGTCCTTTAACAAGGAGTATAAGTAAGAAAATAAGTGAAAAATCTTTTCTTAAGTACACTGTCGAGAATATCAGCGTTAGTGATGCAGCGGCAACAGCGGCAATCGGTGAATGATGCGATTATAACAGTAGCTCTTGTCACAAGTGTGCTCTTTATTACATCGCTTTTAAATGTTCTAATCAAGCTACTATAAAATTGCAATCCGACCGTGAAAATTAATACAAGATATTTCACTTTTCATTGTCACTCAAGTATAAAATTTAATCGAATCAGTTATCCGCGAATTATTTTCCAAAAATCATTTTCCAAAACTACCAATTTTAAGTCCGAGACGCGTTTAAATTATTCAACATGTATGAATCTGTAATAAGATAAAACGAATCGATTGCTACATTATACGAATGTCAAATGTACTTAGTTCCGTTTGCAATTAATTAACAATCGAAAGATGACGGGGATGTTGGACGCGTTAATTTCTGGAAATTACGTTGAGGATTATTTAATTGATTAAACGACGAGCAAACGCACGGTCTAATTAATTGCGCGTGCAGTGAGTCGTTTGACGCGCGTTTTTCAATGTCGCATCGGCACCGTGGTGATAACGTTGTTTGCTCCATCAACAATTAACCGGGCTTTTACGTAACTGAATAATTGGCATCGGCGCTTTGACATTGCTGTCCGTGTCTATCGACATTTCTATTCAAACGCGACGTACTATTAATACATTCTGTATCGATATTGTTCGTGAAGAGCGAGAAACAGAAGCGGGAAGGCCAGCGAAGATACGATTGATACGAAGAAAGACCGTGTTTACGTCGTTGAGGCTCTTGTTTTTTCTTTTGTCGCATTGAATTACAAAGCAGTAATGTATCTCTCGGCACACTCGGCACAAAGTTACACTGTTATAGAGCGCAGCATAATACGCTTGAGATGTACCTGAAATATCTGATTTTCTTATGAAACATACATTCCTTATTCTGAACTTGCTTCTATCGATAAAAATTTCTCCAAGAGTCCAATTTTTCAAATTCAAATTCAAATACAAGTTCAAATTCAGATCTAAGTTTATAAGTTATTCACACATAAACAAATCAGATATATTGTTAGAACAGAGTTTAAGTGGAAGTGCAAGTTACTATTGAAAAATCGGGCTTAAATGTGATTTATAAGCCTTCTGATTGATTTATCAATAGTTGTTATTTGAAATCTGTCTCAAGTGAGATACATGAAAAAGAAAAGATGTGAATATAACCA